TCTATTCAATATAAACCCCTAGGAAGGATAACTGAATCCCTCCAGTGGAATTATAACCCCCCAGGAAGTACATCTGAATCCCTCCAGTGAAATGTAAATCACCCTGCGTAAAGTTTTGAATTGTAAAAAGCATTTTTTCAAACCCCTCCAGTGAAAAAGATTTCCCTCCGGTTGTCTCCAGTGGAGTCAAAATCTTACTACGAACTTCCGTGACTCCCTTTTTCGTATAAAACTAAAATCCTTAACTTTTTCAATCCTTTTTAACAAGATAATACTACTTTCACAGTTTACTAACTCATGTTTGTTTACATTAGGCCTTTGTTATTGTTGTTACGCAAAATATACAAACATGGTGGGTCAGTCGATCTTCACATATGTTGTCATAACTCTAGAGTCAAACCATATCAATATGTAGATTTTTTAAAATCAAACCTTTGTTTTTGTAAATACCTCGAAATTAATATGAAAGCTCGAAATAAAAGTTTTGTATAAATTGCTATAAACAAAACATATACAGCAAAAACATTAATATCTCAAAAAAATGAAGCTGTAATAATACAAGACTTTGAATATACATTGTACAATGTAACCCGGAAAGATGAGACTTCAGAGACGATTGCACAGAATTTACAATGTATGATTTCTTATGTTCATGTTTCCTTGCAACTGTAAGCTTGTTTCATTAATTAAAAAAAGCCATTAAATGACTATATTCATGGGAGTAGACTTATTTCAACCTTGGAATAATTATATTTATAGAGTTTTTAGTCGTCTTTTCAGTCTCATCCCTTGTGTGTAACCCTGTTTCTGTACTGTCACTTTGATGTATCGTTTTAAGATTTTATGTACCGCTTGGTCACTTTATTGTACCAACTGAAATATTTGTATATTTGTTAAAAGATGATTCATTTATTCAACATATTATTTATTATTTTATTATTAATATTGCAAAATGTGATCAGGTTGGATATAAAGAAATACAAATGAACATGTTTAAGGATTGAGTTTTGAGTAAATAGAAAAAGTATAATGTCAGGTTACCCTCCATGCAAAGATGGTAATGTCCGATTTACAACAGTACCCTTGAAACCTTTACATGATCAATAATGTGGAAAATTTTGTCGTATCTCGTGGTCTAAAAGTGGTTTATTACTGATGATTCCAATATGGTTTCCTCCAGTAGTTACTTTTACAGAGAAACCCCATTAAAACAAGTTTTCAAAATAATTAACATTAATATCTAATTCAAACTTGATCAGTCAAAGCTTTTAAGTATCGTTGTGAGTCGGGCAATGCCATTTTTGCGTGAAAGGACACGAGAACAGTTCCTTTTTCAATCTTTCATATTTAAGAGAAAAAAGGGTTGATACAGAAGGACTCTGACCCCAGAGCACTGTCACTGGTTGCATCACTATACTGAAGAGTTGTATCTGTATCTGTATCTGTATCTGTATTAAAGGATTGTAAGGTTACAAAACTATCATCACTATAATAAGATTCTTCTTCATCTTCGCTCTCCCAATCATTTTCATCTGAGTTGATCGCCGAATCGTCTTCTCCAATCAAATCGTCTTTTTTCCTTGACGAATTGTAGATATGTTCGAGCATTTTCTCTGTCATTGGTTCCGACGGTTTCGCTTTGTTCGTCATCACACTCTGACTGTGGAACATATGTCTTAAAGTTTCATAATCTGAGGGTTCATAATTAGTGTGATTAATCTCGGGACCAGGACTACTACTGTCCTGGCTCCAGGTGGTTCCAGATAAAGGTTCGGTTTGATCAACGTGTCCTTTTGACTCCGGATTGTTTGTTGAACAGCTGTTGGAGATATCAACGCTCAGGGGGGCAGATAATCGACTTTTCTCATCTTGTGAAGCAACAAGACTACTCTTAGTATACACCAGACCATCTTGTGTAGCTACAGGACTACTCTTGGTATACACCAGACCATCTTGTGAAGCTACAGGACTACTCTTAGTATACACCAGACCATCTTGTGTAGCTATAGGACTACACTTGGTATACACCAGACCATCTTGTGAAGCTACAGGACTACTCTTGGTATACACCAGACCATCTTGTGTAGCTACAGAACTGCTCTTAGTGTAAACCAGACCATTTTGTGTAGCTACAGTATTGCTCTTAGTATACACAAGACCATCTTGTGTAGCTACAGGACTACTTATGCTATACATCAGACCATCTTGTGTAGCTACAGGACTACTTTTGGTGAGACCATCTCTTGAAACTGGGAGATTATTAAGAGAATCCCGGATAGGTATTGACATAGATGCTGGAGATGACAAAAATCTCATGCTCGGTAACCTGAAAATCAAAATTAATTTACTTGATTATTAAATTCTGTTAAAGAACGGAAATTTTCAGAGCAAAGAGTTCAAAATATTTTAAATTTCATTTTTTAAAAGATTCTAATTTACGGTGCGCAATATCAAATATACAGTTTTTTCCCATAAATGTTTTCTGCTTTCTGTTTTCTGTTTTCTGTTTTCTGTTTTCTGTTTTCGTTTTCTGTATTCTATTTTCTGTTTTCTTTTTCTGTTTTCTGTTTTCTGTTTTCTGTTTTCTGTTTTCTGTTTTCTGCTTTATGCTTTCTGTTTTCTGTTTTCTGTTTTCTGTTTTCTGTTTATGTTTTGCTTTCTCAATTTTTATTTTACCTTTTAATTGCTTTGCTCTCCAAACTGTTCATAATTACACAGCTTCTCCTTCCATCTCTTTCCACACTTCTCCCTACTGCATTCCCCTCCTTCTCCTTCATTTCTGTCTTCATCTTGCTCTCAAGCTTCCCCTTCAGGTGCTTGATCAGCTTTCTCTGCTCTCCCATCATTCTCTCCTGTCTATCTATCACCTGGTATATGTTTATATATATATTCATTTAAGGTAATTATAAATAGAAACAAGACTCTCTTCTGATATATACCTACAAGCTTGGAAACCCAGCTTTGCCCTAGAAATTAGGATTTTTAAACCTGGGCTAGAAACATTACCGTTGTTCGACCTAGTTCGCCAATCAAAATTTGAGGCAAATCGGACATAAAGATTTGTATAATATAAAGATCAACAAACCACACACCATAAGTAGGATGCTTTTTTTATTTTCGGTAGTTTTCCAATAGTCTTCAAATCAGTAATAGGTTCAAAATTTTATTTCGGATAGAATTCAATACTCCATGAAAATAATACTGCTTTAACAAATACTTGAACTCGGAGAAAACTTTATCTATGGGAGAAAATCTTAAGAGAAAAATCATTATTCTATCTAAAAAGTCTTTTGTTACAAAAAAGTAAGAGAAATTCTTTACAAAAAGCCTGGGATTCATTAATGATGCATCACTTTTTCATCCATGTATTATTTCATTAATTCCGTTTACTATTTTCATTTGACCAACCTGTAAAAGAGTTTTCTGTTTCCCCATCAATTTTATCTGAACATCTAGAATTTGATCTTCGATCAATTTAAGTTGATAATTGTAAAGTTTGCGGGTTTGTTCGTCGATCTTTATTGGAATATTCGGAACATGCCTATTGTCCTGATTATGTGAATGTTTATTATCAGCTGGCGTAAAAGTTGAATATTTTCTGATATCACGCTGTTTCACTTGTATCCTATGGTACTCGGTATGATCCATGATTTTAAACTATAAATCCTAGAGAGTCATGTCCAACTGTTGTCTGTTCTAGAACCAATCTTATACTGAGGGATCAAGACTCGAGTTTAAGAATCTAACTGTTAACTTCACTCTCTAACATGGGCAGGGAAATTGGGGTAACATCCTTTACACAAACACACAACACACACACACACTCACTTCGAAACCTTTCACTCTCTCTCCATGTCACGATTATAAAATTAACAGTCATAACCATTGCTTCTCTCTACATTATATAGAAGGAAATGGGGATTTTTTTTAACATTTTGTATTATAATAAATGTATTTGTAACATGTATCGAGTACACTTGATTAAAAAACATGTTTTTCTTTTTGATTGCAAAAAGAGAACATTTTTCAATTGATCCTTAGAGCAATGCGTGCAATTAATGATTTAAAACCTTATGTTTTCCATCAAAACTTCACTTATTGAAGAGGTATTGAGAGAGGGGAGGAAGGCCAGCCATAACAATTTCTTGTCCGATCCACATTCTCCTCATTTTCTCGTCCGAGCCTCCTCGAAATCCTCGTCCTTCGATTATTATGTGTTCAAAAGTTTCCATTTCTTAAGGATAAAACTTTTTTTCTTAAATTTGGCCACGTTAAGTCATAAAGTATGTATAGACTTAAGTATTGCAATCATTAAATCATGTTTGAAATCTTAAAGCCAGGAGAATGATGTCAAACTTTATTTAGGTAAAACTTAATTCTCTTCTGTCTCCGTAATGACTAACATACGCGATATAAAATAAATAGAAAAATATTTGGCATACCTCTGCCTATCATTTTCTCCATTGAACCAACCGGAAAAATTCTATGGTTTTCACTATAATTAACAAAAAAGATTAAAGTTCTACAAACTCGGAATTATTTGCGGCATTCTACACCAAAAATATCTGAAAATGCGCGTAAGAAAGGTGAACATTGTCAAAAATATTGAACTCGAAAACTGTATAATTCAATTAAAAAATATTTATTTTATTTACAAAAATTCCATATTTCATTGTTGCCCTAACGTGGCCCGATTCTTAAAAAATAGTTTTATCTTGGAGGATTAGACACTTAAAAAAAAAAAAATATTGGAAGGACGAGGATTTCGAGGTGGCTTGGACGAGAAAATGAGGAGAATGTGGCTAGGACTAGAAATTATTGTGGTTGGCCTTCCTCCACTCATTGAGAAGAACTAAAATGTTTTGAATTTCTAATATCTAACCGGATAGATTTGCTTGTCTTATACTTGTGCGTAAAATCATAATTAGATAATAAATACAAAGATATACAAGTAATGTCGCATACACTTTGCCATCTACTTCTGTATATAGTTTGCGGAAGGTTACTTTAAATTATGTGAATAAGTTATTTCATTTTGATTTCGATCAAAAATATCTGCTAATTTCTTGTTTAAAACATATGTTGTAAAATTTTATTAAAATTAAAATTCAAAAATGAATATTAAAACATATGTTGGGAAACTTTCTATTTTGAATCTAAATGTTTGGGTTGCCCTAAGCTTAGTTTGGACATCTCTAATTGCCTGACCCTGGGCAAATCAAATCATGATTGAGTTAAGTATTAGTATTTAGGCTTTATACTGACCCAATGTAACTGTGAATAATTTGGCAGCAAGGCCTAGATTGTGTTTAAACAAAAATAAGATTTTTCGGATATACATTATACATACTAGATACAGGGTAGCTCACAAAGTATGAGATGCCAGAGACGATTGTATGCAATTAACATTGTCTGTTTCTTTATATTTAGGGTTTCCTGAAACGGGGTGAATGTGTGTATTTTTTATCTAAGTGTATGTGTGTATTTTTTATCTAAGGGGGGGTGTGCATGTTTTATTTTAGTGTATGTGTGTATGTTTTATCTAAGTGAATGTGTGTATTTTTTTTTCTAAGGGGGTGTGTGTATTTTTATATTAGTGTATGTGTGTATGTTTTATCTAAGTGGGTGTGTATGTTTTATCTAAGTGTATGTGTGTATGTTTTATCTAAGTTTATGTGTGTATGTTCCATCTATGTGTATGTTTTATCTAAGTGTATGTGTGTATGATCATCTATGTGTATGTTTTATCTATGAGGGTGTGTGTATGTTTTATATTAGTGTATGTGTGTATGTTTTATCTAAGTGGGGGTGTATGTTTTATCTAAGTGGGTGTGTATGTTTTATTTAAGTGTATGTGTGTATGTTTTATCTAAGTTTATGTGTGTATAATCATCTATGTGTATGTTTTATCTAAGTGTATGTGTGTATGCTTCATCTAAGTTTATGTGTGTATGTTCATCTATATGTGTATGTTTTATCTAAGTGTATGTGTGTATGCTTCATCTAAGTTAATGTGTGTATGTTCATCTATATGTGTATGTTTTATCTAAGTGTATGTGTGTATGTTTTATCTAAGTGTATGTGTGTATGTTTTATCTAAGTGTATGTGTGTATGTTTTATCTAAGTGTATGTGCAGTGTATGTTTTATCTAAGTGTATGTGTGTATGTTTCATCTAAGTTTATGTGTGATGTTTAATTCTACTGAAGAGTATTTGTATTATTGTATCGACTCCTGGTAACTGCAGATTACAAATTTTAGATAAGATCAGATAAACACTATCTTCTGTTTGATCAATAGCACTTTATCTGATCGAGGCTACTGTACGTAAGGAGATATTTCCAAGAGAAGAAAGAAAAAAATTCTTCTTATTTGTCTCCCTGATCACGTCGAACTAAAGTAAGCCGCTCGTAAGATTGAAATCTTATATTTTTTCAATCATAAAATGTTTTAAATTTCTGATATGTGGGAGGAGCTACGAGGTCACAAAGATCTACCAGTGATGTCGTATAAATTTTACTTTCTCCTTCTGTCTAATTTCAATGCGTGATGGAGAAAAAGAAACCCCGATAAAAGATTTGAAGTATAATGCATAATTTATTTCTAATTCTTACAAATCAATCGTATTCAGAAACCATGGAAAGAAAATAAAAACATAATTCTGATCGAAAAAAGATAATAGAAACTGAAGAAAAGGGGGGGAGAGGGGTTGTTTCAGGGGAAGTTATTGTTAAAGTATTATCGACGGTTTCCAGAGTGAATTATAGAGTTTCTAAAGTGAATTATATCTAATTCTATCTGTCTTGTACGTGGATTATCAATGAAAGACAATCCCCCTCAATGTTCCTTTTCTAGTGAGGGTAGGTGGGATGTGAGGGGAGTTGGGGTTTTATAAGGATTTGTGTGAGGAGGGGTATTGAGGGTAGGAGGGGTAGTGAATGGAGGAAGGGTAGTGAGGAGAGGTTGGATGTAAGAGGAGGTACGTGGAGGAGGAGTGGTAGTAAGGGCATGCGGGAGACTATGGAACGATGGGAGTAAAGTAAAGTAGAAAATGTAATAAGATGTGGGACGAGGGAAAATATTTCCAGACAAAGCTGGGCACCCACGCAAGTTCTATAATATCGAACGAGAAGTGATTATCAGAGTATGGCCAAAATTTGGTAGATTAATCAAATCTGCCTCAAACATGAAGTTTTATACGATGTGAGATCAAATGTTATGTTGTAAAATGATCATTGATCAATAAAAAAATCGAACTTCTGCTAAATTCGAGGCATGGGACATCATGTGTCTTTCTATCAAGAAACCTATATATAGTCCAGCGTAAATTATCTATCTATGAATCTATTTATTTATTTTCTCTTCTAACCGATATACCAAGACTAATAGTTTTACTTGAGTAATTAGTGGAAAAAGAAAATCGATAGGAAACAGGGAGAAGAAGATATTTAACAGAAGTCTCACTCGCTCACTCTCTCTCTCGCTCACTCTCTCACTCTCTCACTCTCTCACTCTCTCACTCTCTCACTCTGTCACTCTCTCATTCTCTCACTCGCTCACTCTCTCACTCTCTCACTCTCTCATTCTCTCACTCTCTCACTCTCTCTATAGGGCATATTAAGTCTTCTGCCTTGAAAATAGTCATTTTATGTGTTAATTCATCATTTAGTAAACAAACAAAGAAGTTAATAGATGCAGAGAATCGTTGACTCGACACAAGGAAACACATTTTTAAATTCCGGACAGTCGTCTCTGAAGTCTCATACTTTATGGGTAACCCTGTTTTTTTTGGGTTTTCTTGAGTCTTTTTTATTGAATTTAGATGCTCTTTTTCATTTCACTCCTGTAGAGTTTTCAATTTTTTCCGGATCCATTTATTTCGAATAGGTCTTACGGAATCTTTCCGGAAGCTGTAAAGAATGATAAACCATTAAAAACTTTCGGAAACTATTTGCGAACCTTGCTACTTTCAAGATCCAACTTTTAAAAGCTTCAGGAGTTGGTTCCGTAATGCATTTACGGAACCAAATTGATCCGGAAAAAAATTGGAAACCCTAAGTTTTTCTCATCCTCCTTGTTCCCTCTTCTTTCCCTCCCTATACAGGATTCAATTTTCTTTTGTACATAAGTGACTGTCGGCATCCCCCTGTATAGTTAAAGCTGGGAAGATACAAGTGTTGTATAGACATAATTTAACATCAACTCATGTCCCTTCGAATATATTAGTTTTCTCCCCATCTCGGAAACTTTAAGCAAATGAAAAATGAACATGTATATAAAGGGTGAGTCAAAAAGAAGTGTGATTTGAGACGCCTGGTGCAAAATTGTACCTTTTTGTGCAACTCTCCTGTGTGGTGTTTTTTAAATATTTTTTGAAAATTTGTAATTTGTTTTGGTACTCCAATGGCCCAAAAGAAAATCCGCGAACCTTTTTTTCTCTCAAAATCAAAAGTTAAGAAAAGCAAAAATGTGTATATGAATTATTTCTATCAAAATCTAAATTTTTTTAACGATTGAATCAAAGAATCGCAGAAAATTCGCAATTTTTAGTTCTGGTATAATTTTTAAGGAAAAGTTATCTAAATTCTTCAGTTCCTTTCTTCTTATTGTGAATTTTCTAATTTCAATTTTGCAAATTTTCTGAGATTCTGTGATTCAATCTTTTTAAAATTTTAGATTTTGATAGAAACAATTT